ACTTTATTATTTTTAATAAGCTTTTATTTATGTGTTTGGCAGTAGCTGAGAAAAAACTGTAAAGCAGGATTTGTCTATTATATGCTGCACAGCTCTTAACACCTGCTAATGGAGAAAATGTAAGTTATTTTAGACTGACTAGGACAATTTTGTTTCTTGATAGGAAAAGAGTTAAGTCTGTTTACAGCTTAAGTCTTTTGTTGGCAGATCTACAATCTTTATAAAAACTGTCCAACTCAGGAAGGAAGCAATCTTGATGCAGATAGCTTTTTTCTTTTTTTTTTTTTTAATAGCACAAAACCAAACAAGTGAACCAAATATTAAGATCTTGGTCTAATTTACGTAAGGACTTCAAGACTACTCTACCATTGTTTGAACAGATAATAGCAACCAAGCATGACAGACATTTACACAACATGAAAACACAATTTTCAAGCAGAATCTAGGATACCTGCAATTAAAAAGGTTATCAATATACACATCTAAATATTGCTGTTGATAAACAGCCTCAGAAGTCCTAGTAACCCCGGCAGTCTTTTCTATTAATGTAATTGGTAACAACTTCTGAGAAATAGGACTGTAGAGGTTATTGCACAGCTTTAGTGACTGCAGGCATGATATCTGAAACACAGAATTCTGTTGTCCAGGATCTCCTTAAAACCCCAAACTTTAATACAAGTCATCTCCCAAGAGAATAATTTAGATTATAAAAGAATACATACCCACAAACTCAACTCTGGACTTTCTAACTTAAAGGCAGTGTGTTCTAGCCAAAGGTGGACTGAACCTCCATCACCCAACCAGGATGTTTCAAGGCAAGTTTCTCAAACATCCAAAAGGAAGGCAAAAGCACTTAGTAGCTACATTACTATTTTTATAACAATACACAAGAAACCGCTTTGCTTGCTTCTATCCATTGGAAGCAGTAACATTATGATTAGCATTTTACCAAGATACTCAAATAGCCAGAAATTAAAGGGTGCAAGAGGTACTTTTGCTGAGAAGGGGAAGACAATCCAGTCAAAGAGCTTCCATTGCCGTCTCTATCTAACATGCATGCTATACAAGTATCTTAAGAGGCTGGGTAATGCATGAAGTATAATTAAAGAAAGTAAGATCTGTGAGAGAACATTGCAGAGTGGAACAAGACAGGGAAGACGGACTTGTTCCAACAAAGTATTTAAGTATGTTAAAGTTTTCATTAGTTTACAACTGGTCTCTAGTGTCTACAAATCAGGTGCTTTCTGAAATTTGTATTTTTATATACCTACCTCAAATACCGAAAGGTCATTTCTTCTGTAGATTTCATTGGCTGGAGGATGAAACCAGCCACATTTCTTTGAGTGCCTTAACAAAATGTTTTTACTTTTCATGTATTTAAGACAGAATTCACACAGGTAAAGCTTTGGTAATCTGTATGAAAATTAGAAAGACATTTTATACAAAAAATTTGTCACATTCTGTAAACAAAAACATTACCACAAAGCGAAAGGCCCTCCCATTTAAATATAAGGTATCATGAGTAAATGCTGCTTAAGTTAAAAAGAAATAAAAACCACAAAATCAAACAATATCACATTAGACTGAATGATTAAACATATACACCAGCCATTAGAAAGGGAAGATAATAAAAGATCAGACTGAATCAATCATAACAAAAAAAATTCAGAACCTGACTGTGGTCAGCTGTTTCGTGGTCCAGCCTCCGGCAGATCCCAGTTACTTCCCCCTTCCACATTCCACCTAAGCTTTCACTGTGATCTCCATCAAAGTAGGTATACAGGAGTCATACCTCAAATTTCGTCCTTCTTCCAATGAAGACAAAGGAGGCATACAAGAAAACACAGGCAATCTCTATAATTTTTCTTTTTTTTTGAGGTGAAGGCTAGGTGTTTATTTTTCTTTCTACTGTCTTCAAAATACTTGGGTGGGACAACAAACCGTAGTAGAATTGTACCTCCTTCACCTGCACCCAAACTATCACTTTACTTCAACACAGAAGCCCATCCAAACAGTTTACCTATAGGCAAAAAGACTCCCTTTCATACACCTCCATCACATAGGGAACGCAGATGACTGTACTCTTCCAGAAAGGATTCAGTTCAAACTACATACAAGTAACCGACAGGCCTCACATAAGACAATGCTGACAAATGTTATGTACCACAACTGTTCCTTTCAGTGCCTTTTATGGCTGATTACCTTCATTGTTAAATTACTGAAGCAGTGGAAGACGACTGCAGAAATTAAGTAGCCTACAAAGTTTTAGAGCAGAGGACAATCTTTATCTGCTCTGAATCTACTGGCACATCCTGGGAACACATTGGGATCATAGCCACAGTTTATACTACTCCAGTGTTCTAAGAAAGTTTATCAACAACATACCTAGTTTGAACTATTTGTTCCATGGTTAAAAAAAAAACAACAACAAAACAAACACACAAACAAAACCCAAAACACACCAACCAAAAAAAAACACCCCCCCCAAAAAAAACACCCAAAGAAAACCATGTCAACACACACTGCAAGATTATGTTGATGCAGGACTAGGAAAATCAGTCTTTTATGCATCTTTGATTAGAACCAGTAAAAAGGCAAGACAAATCCTTGTTCTCACTTATAAATACAAAACATATTCACTTTTACAAGTTGTAAACTATAAACAACTACAAAAGAGTAAGAAAATAAATTATCATGTTTGTAAAAATTGCAACAATGTATGACAATCTTGACAACTTGCTACCTTGCATATTCCTGCGGGTAAGGTGAAGAGTACCAAGTCTGGATCTCATATTTTCCAAACTCAATCACTGAAGGGTATCGCCCACTTGTTTCGCCAGTGTTTTTGCACCCAATTTTCTGTCAGGTATAGTAAGAGCAAAATATTAGTTACAGAAAAAGTGAAAGAACAGTCAGCTTTATATCATCAATTTCACCCAGTGAAGATGTGAGAAACCTGAAGTATTCAAATCAGTTGCTTAAGTTCTTCCAACCCGGACAGAGGACAGAGTTTGCAAATAGCCAAATGGGAACAGTGAAAATTTCTTCCAAGGTGCCAAACTATTAAACATAAAGTTAAGTGAGCAGTGTTTACAAATAAGCTCATACAAATAGATGGTGGATGACCCAGCCAACTAACAGGCACGAGTGCTTCAGTTCTCTTCTCCTGAAGGAGAAGAGCGCAAGGACTTCTCTGCAGTTCTGGTACAAATTCAAAGCTGTCCTTTTGTCAAAACAATGATGGAGAAGGCATCAACATAAGCCTTCTAGAGTCCTTGGAATTTACCTCATAACAGTCTACAATATACTAACACACACTAAGATGTCACCTATGCTTAATCAGTGGTAGTTCTGTGTCCAAAGTGCTCAAATATATTTTTCAAAACCTATCCCAAGTGTCACTTAATCATCTGACCCATACCAGTGTGATGCCTTGTCTCCTATCCACGAGGAGAGACTGTATATACAGCGTCTCCGAAACTAAATTCACAGCAAGCATGACACATTAGATCAAAATGAATGAAATGACAGATGAAAATGAACTGAGTTTTTATGCAACATGATTCTTACCTCCAGGGAAAGTTCTCGAGCCTGCTTAAATACTTCCAAATCCTCCTGTGTAACAGTGTCCTTGCTTCCCACCAGAAATACATCCGTATTTTCTTGTTTGATGCTTAGTTTGATTTCAGTATCTGTTATTTAAAACCAGCAAAAGGTTTATTCACAGACATGAAGGTTAATTGTGCCTTACCAAAGCGGTACTCCTAAACAGGATTGTAGCAACTATGGCTGTTATGCTTCCCATTTTAAATAAATTTGGGATTACAGAAATGAAACCTTCCCCCCTTCTTGTTTCATAGTTTGCTGCTGCATGAGCTGTTTTTTGATACTTGTCTATCTGTATAAGCCTTTACAGTCCAGTTCTACTAAATTAGTTTTGAACCTCATGAAATGAAGTATATTCTATCACTAGAACTATGCCTCCTGATAAATTCCAGTATACTCTATAAGGTAAAAATAAAAAAAAGAGAAAACAAGTTCCCCTTAAAAGTTGGAGATCAATGCTAAACAAAGTCTACATTCAAACACTGTAATTTTTTCTTAAATAAAAGTAATTATAAAAAAGGTATTTCACAGTAGTACAGATCAAGTGTTGTGAAGACTGTAGCAGGATGGAATTGTTCATGAAAAAGCAATGGAGCAGAGGAAAATGAATTGAAATGCCCACCATTATAAGCACTGACAGCACACAATTATGATGACAGCACTACTGCCAGAGAAAGGGCAGGGGAAGAACAAGGAAGTAGCATGAAAAGTGGCTACTCATGCGGTACTACACAACTATTAGCAACATTATGAAGGCATTTGGGGCTCCTAGTGTCACTACAGATGCAAAAAATAATAAAAAAGTTGTGTGGTATTAGTCAGAAAAAACATTTTGGAGATTTAGTCAGAATTAGATAAAAGGTCAAAGTTTTATTGCTTTTGTATGAAAGTGAAGTAAGAACAAGAGAAATAGCTAAGACCTATGTGACAATGTAAGAATTTTGGTTTTGGACGGGATGCAGGTTTGGTTGGCGCTTTGACCTTTGCTTACCATCATCCTGATCAGGTTTAATCCTTCCGTCTGCCAAGCTCCCCTTCCCTGGTGAGGGTGTCCCCATCTGAGGGGTCACTTTATACTTTAATCTGCCTAGAATCCTGTGCTTTTTAAGCAAACTTATTCTCTTGAGACGAGCAACTACTTTAAAAGCATGTCTTCTAGACACACCCCATCCAGAAGTACAGGCATGAGAAATAAACCTACTCCTAACCTCTTTCTTTCCATAGAAACGGCTATTAGATTTTGATGTGGAAGATAATTCTGGTTTACGACACAAACGCTTGGGTGGTGCATAGCTTGGGTGTCCCTTTTTTCGAGACTGTCCCTGAGTGGCATAGATATGAGAAAGTCCATCAAAGAGTCCCTTTAGCTGACTGTTATTTGAAAGGCTACTAAAGGAGGGTATGCTTGACTGACTGGAAGAACTTTGGGGAGAGTGAGAAGAAGTGGAAGTGCTGGATTTTTGCGAACTGGGGCTCTGACCAGAGATGGGGGTTGGGGGTAGAAGTGAAGAAGGTGGAGGTTTTAGCTTTTGTGTGGTACCTGTAGCCAACACAAGAGAAGTGCATGACTGTTTCTGAGAGACCTTTTTCCTTGGACGATAGTGCTTTGAAAAGTCTATTATTTCACCTCGTGATCTGCGACCATCAGGTGATGGTGTAAAGAACTTAGTAAGGCCATCAATGAGCCCTTTGGTTTTCTTGTTAACTTTAAGTGTAGAGGCAGATATGTAGGTGGAGGTGGTGGTGATTTTGGTGGTGGCACCAGGCCGAGTGGGGTCTGTAACAGGCAATCTGCTGCTTGAATCCTTCACAGATGCAGCATGATCAGATGAAGGTGTGGTACAGACTTTAGTCTTTTGACCCCTACCAGGTGACCCCCTTCCTGTGAATGCATTCATGGATCCTTCATCACTGGTTACAGACCTATGCAAAAATTTGAAAAACAAAAATCAGCATTAAAAAACTGTAACTACTACCAAACAGTACTACAGTTTATATAAGTTACTTACGTCACTGTATTGAAAAATGTTTAAAGAAATTTAAAGACATATACATTTTTGTAATATATTTCACACTATGACACAACATCCCTTCTGCCCCCACCCCGTTTGTCTTTTTGTCATCATCCCCCCACCTCCCTTTAAAAGAGCCCGCAGTACATATAAATAAAAGCAGCTGGGACAGCAAGATCTCCCAAGTATACAGCCTCCCCACCACTTTTAGGCATGGCAAAAGAGTGCTTCTTTGAAGAAAAACATCAATGCACAATGTCAGAGTACAATAACTGCTCCATCACCGTAGAGTTTATTGCACACACAAAGGAGATGAACATGTTCAGTGTTAATAAATTACCGCATATCAAAACACTTAACTTCAGACTACATTTGCTTAAACTGTAGAGAAAGTCTAATAGTCCTTTAAAGCAATACAGACAGTTTTCAAGAAACTGCTATTTTTTTCCACAATCTTGTTGGATTATGTATGTCGACACTGGCAATAAAAATTACCACCGAAGACCTAAAAGCAAAATAAGGTTGTTTATGAAAAGCATTACAACAAAACCAAAGAAGAACTCTGTTTTCTTTAGAAATGGTAACAACAGCAAAAACAACAATAGCAAAGGAAAGGAAGGAGCAAAACTTCAAGACCAAGTGGTGTTTGTAGAAATGCCATGAACCAATCAGGCCTAACATGGAAAGTGTCAAAAAGGAAGAGTGGTGAGTGTTCTTTAACTGCTAGGAAGAAAAGGACATGCTGGAAACCAACACCTGTGACAGAAGAAGTACAGGTTTAGCAGGTCGCTACTGACTGAAGAGAGGAACAACACTGAAGAGCAGTATATTGTTAAGTATATAGAAACAGAATGAATATTCACAGTAAACAGTTATCAGGAGGTATGATCAAATTGCAAATCCAAACAAAGCTATATAGTTGCACCAAATGCTTCCATTCCCCTTTCCATCCCGCTCTTTTAAGTTAGCTTATTTACTTTGCAGCAGAAAGTTTTCTTCCACAGATTTTGCCTTCTTAATTGAGATGCTGAAGTAATTCATTCCAACAGGTTAGTTCTAATTAGAGACTGAACAGCCTAGGGCTACCATCTGGTTTACTGAAGTCCAAGGGCCCAAGAGTTTAAGAACTATCTCCTTTTCCACTCACACATCCTTAAATTTGGTTAGTTCCTAAGAGGCAACAACACCAAAAACTTCTAAGTCTTTTGAATCCTTTGGTGATATAAGCTTATGTCCATCGCAAGACCTATTCTCACTACCAGACGTGGTAATCACCATCAGTGCCAGAGGCCAACACACACCTGGTTTCAGTTAACGCTACACAGCAATTTGCCTGTGAAGGGCTTCCTACAGATGGTCAACAGGCAAAAAATTCTTCCAGTACTACTGGACAGATTTTCTTTGTACCACACAAAAAGAACTAAGTGGCATTAGCTAACCTTCCTGTATTTCATGCGACCATACACTTTTATGTATGACACTGTCGTCTTCTGTACCCCACTATCACTTTTCAATAGGATTCCATGAGAAAGTCTCTTCTCTTATACAATCTCCTAACCACTATTTTTCAAAAAAAAGATTACTTTGTTTTTTATATATATTAAACACTGAAGTAATAGAAATGTGCCCACAGTATTGCAAATATTTATTATACAAAGAATCACCCCAAGTACTACTCTAACATGCTCATATGGCTCACGTGCTACAAACAGAAATCTTTCTAAAATATTCATAATAATCATCCAATGTTAAGAGAATTTCTGCATGCTTTCAAAAGTCGTAGCTCAGAATTCTATTAGAAAAATTTAACAGTAAAACCCCTACAACCTTTCTTTTACATGTATGAGGAAGCAGAATTACTGTTATCAGACAGACACTCCTCCTAAATCCACTGTGGAAACCTAAAACAGGGATGTGTTTTTAGAGAAGTAACACTTCTGTGTTACAGTACTGTATTAGAGCCCTAAACTCCAGTTGAATGCTTAGAGTTTTCAAAGAGGTAAAACCAGAGGTGTAGCTGCAGCCAGAGGTGTAGCTAGAAATATAGAGAATATTTTTATTATGTCCACACAATGACATACAGGAGTTTCAGTTAAAGCACTGAAAGTTTAATGGCTATTTCAATGACCTTCAAATTCCTAACTTACTTAGTCAGGAGAAGAATGGAGAACTAGAAGAATGTTTCACCCACTCCTCCTTTAACAGCATGCTCTCATGAGCCACTACAACTACATCTTTCACGTTCATGTAGTGCCACACTTCATCCTTGTCCTGTACTACTTTCCTAGAGCAACAAACACTGAACTTTAGGACAAGGACCAAAAAGGCAAGACAAGAGGTCCTGACAGAGAGAGACAGGAAAGAGAATACAGCAAGCTGCACAGTACCAAGCACATCAACTTGACTAGTATGCTGTACTCTAGTACTGCAAGTATATTTTATTTCCTTCTATTTTTACATGTTGGCTCCACTGGCTCCAGAAACGCTTATTTTGCAAAATGCAGTTTCATAGCAGCTACCATGCAACTCTGAAGAATACCAGACAGGTGTTTAGACTATAGAGCAAAATGTCTGGGTAACAGCCACATGACAGAATGAGTAGTAGATAGAGCCAGAAAGCTTTTCAGCTGCTGAGTTGACATGGCCAAACAGATAGTTAAATAGGAGAAGAAAGGCTTATGTGGACATGAATACGTGATGAAGGGCAACATGCTACTAGAGTTAACAAAGAATCTGTTCCTGTTTAACACTCAGTGTAATGTCAACCCAGCATTTTAATGCTACTTAAACAATCCTCCAACCAAGCCTTTAGACATCCAACTACCGTGTTCCCTGGAAAGATAGATGCCAAAAGAATTGCAGAACTCTCTTCTCTTAGATAAACACATTCCTGAGAAGCAACAGGAATTGCAACCTTGTTCCTTAGTAACCAGTGTCAGCTTAACAGCAGAATTCAAGTAATAATTTTTTCCAGAGTACCACTGAAACCAGAACTTCTGCAGTACTTGCATAGTTTGAGTTTTGGAATGGGTTTTTGAACTGTTATTAATGAATAAAGTAACTTTTACATGACTTCTGAACAGGCCTTTCAGCAGAACAGTCTCCTGAAGTTAGATATAAGTAACTCACTGTTGTACGCTGAGGAGAGATTCTGTACATCCTTCAATTATTTGATGTGACACTTAAAAGATAGCTGTGGTATATGTCACCATATAGACATTTACTTGCATCTGCTATAGGCACAAGTTTTACTAGAAAATTATGGGATGTAGAGAAGTAAATTACAGAAGTTTTTTCATCACCTTTTGACATCACACAAAAAGTACTCACTAGCATTTAGAAGTTATTTGCCTTTGGGCTGAAAAGCATACACTAGAATATTTGTCACCTACTCTCCCCAGCTTGAAATACAATTAAAAACTGTGGTTGAACCCTCATCAAGTCTTATCTGGCTACATTATCAGAAGCACAAAAAAAAAATCACCAAGAGAAACCTACAACATTCGTTGTTTTAGTTTATTTTTCGGTCGTCCAATAGGTTTTGCATATCGTCGCCTTATTTGGGCAGCTTTCTCATGAAGCAGCTTTCTCCCTTTCTTCTTTGGTCTACAGACCTGGCAAATCCACATCCCTACATAAAGGAAAAAAAGTTTAATTGAATACAGTTTATTTAATCTGTACTGCAGGTGTCTACCAAGAAACATGCCAAGTACATAAGGTCAACAAATTATCTTATGAACAGGACAGAGGGGAGGGGAAGTGGACAGAGAAAAGTGATCCACTTCTACCCATACTTCGAAATTATAGAAAGCAAAATGCTCATGGAAAGCAGAAAAAGAGGCAAGAAGGATCACAGGAAAAGATTGTGAGCAACTGGGTTTTTAGAAGAATTTATGTTCCAGCTCGTCCCTCCTTCAACTACCTAGGTCTTTCTTCAGACACAATTAAGATGGTGGAAAAAAATGACGTGCATTACAAACCAATCTAAGCTAGAGTGCACTAAAGAAAACACCAGATCACACCTAGGTATGTTTGGTTTAATATACAACAACTTGAATTTAGCACCCTTTTAACGGTGGATGACCACGTGTGAACACGTATTTATTATAGATAAAGCTGGGGACTTGGGGGGGAAAAAAGCTGGAAGAAGTCTTTAGTGTAACTTTAAGATTAAATACGGAAACCCATAAAGATGGGAGAGCAGAAGTGAGAGGTTCTATGTATCAGAAATCTAGATATTAGAGAACCTGAAGACAGGTGTTTTGTTTGTTTCTTTTTTTAAATTATTCTTACAAAAGGCATGAAGAAGCAGGCTTTTTCACCTGCTCTAAGTACTTCTTTGTCAGTGTATACATTCTAAACATTTTAACAGCCTTGGTAAAACTTCACCTTCAATAAATTGGCCAACAACTTAATACACAGTGAATTCATCTGGTCAGCTGACCGCAGGCCTTTACTATTTTCCTTTGACATGACTGAAATCATACTGTTTACCAATGCAAAAATAATCTGCATGCTCAAACACTTTTGGTCACTTAATAAGAGATAAAAACTGTGAATGAAAGTATTTTCATTGAAAGGATTTTTATTATCACCTTTTGGCATTCGGGAAAGTGGTGGGTCACAGCACTCCATGTGGAACCCTCTATCACAGGAGTCGCAAAAAAGCATGTTGTCCTGAAGGGGGAGGCAGGGGAGAGGAAGAGGGAAAAAAAAAAACTTAATACAGCATTCTTGAAGTTGTACATCAGTGACATGTGCTAAGTGTAGGGCTACAGTAAACAAAGAAAAGTCAGATAATACTCAACAGTCTAACTTACTGCATTTTTGCCTTGGATCCTACATGCACTGCACGTCTTGCATTCAATACACTGCCATCTTAAGGCCTTCACATTTGTCGTTAACTCAGGACAGAATTTCAAACATGATGGATGTCCTAAAAAACAAAACAAAACAAAACAAAAAAACCCAAAACAAAAATATTTAAATCTTGAAGTTTATGATTGGTAAGATTGATTCTTAAGTCCAACAGGATGTAACCAGCACCACCAGAACCCTGCAAGTACCAACTGTTTTCAGACATTTGCAACACATTATTTAACTCATATACTTCATACCAAGACACAGAATAACTGCCACAAAACTCATTTATGAAGAGAAGTAGAAAGCTGACTTCTACAGTAACTGACACCTGTGAATGATCTACACAAGCACCAGAAACTGAATTTTTATTTTCACTAGGTTATTTCCATAGCATACTAAACTGCCTTTAGTTCTGAAAAAAAGTATTTTTACAAACTTGATCCCACCCCCCTTTCACAGTAGTGCAATATAAACAGAGGAAATACTTAGATAAAACCTCATTAGTTATTTTTAAAAATATACTAAGTACCTACCAGAGAAACTTAAGTCAAACTAGATGCATTTTTCACTCCAACTTATTAATTATATAATAAGAACAACTTCAGATCAGTAAGAAGAAAAACAAAAATGAAGGGAGCAATTGGCACAAGAAAAAGCTTACTGCAAAGGAAGATTTAAAATGGGGGGATGGGGAGCAGGGAGTAGCTGAACTACCACCTCCCATGAAACTATATTTTATTCCCTGGCAGGCCCATCCTACTTTCATGATAGCCAAGAAGGCCTACATGGCTTTTCCAGTTAATACAAGATATCAGACAACTGAACACGTACAACACCTAGGCCATATCGACAGTGATTTTTCATGTATTCAACAACCTTAGAGGGTATCCTTAATCCAGAAAAAATAAAACCACTGCTAAATAGGAAGGGATAAGCCTTTCCAGGGAAACACTGTTTGCCTGAACTATTTTCAGAGATTATCAAGAACGTCAACCCAGAAGTTGTCAGAGAGATAAGAATCCCTCACCGAAGATAACCAAAGATAACCAACCAATAAATTCAAATAGCAGTTTCAAAACCAATAGCATTGCTATTTGATTCTTAGCATACAGTTTAAGATAGATCAACAAAATTCTTATGGTTAAAACTGAGTATGCACTTAAAGTGACTGTTTTTCTTGAAAGTGACAAATGCACTCTGTAACTGCATAGTTGAGGTTCAATGCTACACTGTTTCCCTCAATAAAGCTTAACAAGTGCTTCATTTTAAAAAAAATCTGCCAAGAAATAAGTAAAAAGCTCCCTAGAGTGGCTGATATTAATGATCAGTATCACAGGAAGACTTAGGTCATCAACCATGAGTTAACAACTATTTTAACACATTGAAGTGTAATCATAAACCAATTACCTCCATATAGGTACATTTAATGCCAGTTATCTACCCTGCACAGAAGTTATTTACTTCAAGAAGCAAGTTATTGTTTAAATTGCTGGTTTTAATTTTCCCTTAAGTAAATAACTGAGAAGTATAGATGTATGAGACATCCATTCTCACTGACTGGTAACTATGCACAGATTACATTTAACAGGGTTACTTTATTTCTCTGTTATCTGCCAACATAACATTTCTCATTCAAACAATTACACAGCTCAATACATTTGTTAATATGCTTAAGTGTTAGATTTTACTATGGGATGAAAATCCAAGAAAAAAATCCCTTGGTATTAAATATCATAGAATCATAGAATCATTAAG